GCTGTGCTGCTGGGCCAGAGGGCTGTGCTGCTGGGCCATGGGGCTCTGCTTCTCCGAGCTGGGGGCCGAGGCCGGGCTGTTCAGCTCTGCGTAATGGGAAGCTGGAGATTAAAGACCTGTCACGGCGCGGCATTTAGCAAAGGGCAAAGGTAGACAATAATCATTTCTGGTCGCACGCTACCTCTGAAAATTTATGCTTTGTCGCTTTTACTCTCTTGGGTTATAATTAGGTTTTAAGACATCTGAACCTAATGGGCTCCTTTTGATAGCAGTGAGTTCTGAAATCTTGGTCATTTCTATAACTCCGGTTGGCACCTCCGTTATTTAAAACCCAGCTGAACAAAGCAAATGGCTTCCGTGTTTCATGTTTTCTTTTAAAGCCTAGAAATACTGATATTTGAAAACTGATATTTAATTTTGAGAGAATGAATGATTTTGTTGCTTTCATGATTGTTATGGGATGGCAGACTGTTGTCACAAAAGCTAAAACACTGGTGTGCTTGTGTTAGTTTCTGCTGTCTTTGAGCTCAACAAGACTTTCTTGTCTTTTTTAAATCTTTGGGGACTGCAAGCAGAAAAACCAATCTCAGTAAGTTCTGACTAACCAGCTAAACCGATGTTTTATTTCACTGTATTGTGCCAAATGACCAGGGTTTCACATAGGAACACTGCAGAAACCAGAACCCTTCTTTCCAAACAACATAAAACTCAAAAAGACAGAGTGAGGCCGGGGTAGGAAATGTGGCCTTATTACAAATAAAGGATGCCAACCTTCCTTCAGGCTTCCCGCTGCGCTTGCGGAAGACACATTTGGCCCTGAGCTCGTATTGAATATATTTCTCCAAACACACCAGCACAATTATGTTGCTCATCGTTTACCTATTAAGAAGCGTAAATGAGAGAGACTCCACCCTGAAAAGAGGACAGGGCTCTGCAGGATTGCTTGTGCATTATCAACAGCAAAGGTACACATTGTATTTTTTTATTCTTGCTTCCAATAGAATGAGTGAGGCACATGTGGCATGCAGCAAAGCATCCAGAATGGACATGTGTATGGCTGAGCATCCCTAACAGCAGTAACTATGCAGGATCCAGATCTTGCCTAGTTTTATATTTTAATCTAGCTTGAATTCTGAATTATTTTATTTTTCATTTTTTAACATGTGAAATTGTCCCCTATGAATGCACATTTCTAATGGCTCTCTACTTATTTAATTTATGCTTATAATTATTTAAAAAATCTTTTCAATTTAGGCTTAATTGTCAAAAAACTTGTATATTTGCACTTAAAACACTCCTCGTGCAGGCATAAGCAATACTTGTCTGTGTAATTACTATGCTTAAGGCTTTAATTGCCAATTTTGCATCTGCGAGTCTCTTCTGTGTTGCAAAGTTTCAGAGACGAAGACTGGGAACGTCATCCCTCATTTCTACATTACTCTCATAGCTATGGTTGAACTAGTCAAATCATAAACTGCTTCTAAAACTGCTTTGCATTTATATGGTGTTTTTCACCTGAAAGAACATTACAGAGGTATTAGACTTTTTTCCTAATTTCATAAGCTGGGAAGCTAATATCAGAAGGCAAATGAGGTGTCCAGTGTCACAGACTCACACGGGGAAGCCATGCCTTGGGCACAAATCATTTCTCACCGCTAGCACGCGAGAACATCTTGCAGCATTGTATCTCCGATGCACCTCTGCTTTCTTTCTAATTTAAGGTATCCATCTCTAACACTGACCTATTAGCAATTTGCTAATGTGAGGCCTAATAATCTGCACAGACTGCATGCAGCATCACACTTTGCAGATGCTTGCAAAACCAACCTCCAGTGATCATACAGCAGCTCTTTGATGTGAATTCTGAACTTGTGTATGTTTGTGTTTTTCCCTTCACTGAATTCATTTAACAAAGTAGATAAGTTCCCCCAGTTGCAGTCCACGGCCAGTGTCAGACTATTTTCTTGTCCCATTGCTGGATGTAGCAATGGAAGGTGAAGGTCATCTAGCTGTAGCACAGATCATTAAGTAATTACATTACTTGCTGTGTGACATCCCTAGCTCTAATGGTATTTGTGCTGAGATATAAAGCCACAGACTCATTAATACCGTAAAATTCATACACCAGTACAGCACATCGCTAAACGAAAAAAAGCCCTGAAATCAACCCCAAAACCCATGAAACCAACATCAAAAGATCTTCACTGATTAGCTGTGGAGTAATGACCAGAATAATGAGTCTGTTCCCTTATCCTCACCTTACAAAGGACATAATTTAGGGTTCAGTTCTTTCCTGCCTTGTGCATTTATAATGATACATGTGGAAGAAGCTACCAAATCTGGACTTTTCCTTCACAACACTTTTTGTCACAGGTAGTTGAACATGGCTGTTGACAGCCACTGCAGTCATCGTGAATCATTTTGCCCAAATCTGGTTTGGTTTATAGCAGGATATAAAGGAATGAACTCTGTACTGGTTTCAGCTGGGCTGGAGTTAATTTTCTTCATAGAAGCTAGTGTGAGGCTGTGTTTTGGATTTGGGATGAAAAAAATGTTGATAATGTGATGATGTTTTGAGCTGTTGCTGAGCAGTCAAGGGCTGTCCAGCTTCTCATGCCCTGCCCCTGAGCAGGCTGGAGGCGCAGGGAGCTGGGAGGGGACACAGCCAGGACAGCTCACCCAGGCTGGCCAAAGGGATGTTCCATACCATATGACGTCATGCTTGGTATATAAAGAAGGAAGGGGTGGAGGGATGTTCAGAGTGATGGCATCCACCTTCCCAAGAAACCATTACGCGTGATGGAGCCCTGCTTCCTTGGGGATGGCTGAACACCCACCTGCCCATGGGGAGTGGTGAATGAATTCCCTGTTTTGCTTTGCTTGCGTGCACGGCTTTTGCTTTGCCTGTTAAACTGTCTTTATCTGAAACCATGAATTTCCTCACTTTTACACTCCCAATTCTTCCCCCATCCCACCGTAGGGGAGTGAGCGAGCGGCTGCGTGGGGCTTAGTGCTGGCTGGGGTTAAACCACGACAAACTCAAAACCTGTCCCTCTTGTAGTGTGCTTTTCTGCATAGAAGACAATTCTTCCAAAAGTCATTAACACTGACTCTCTGGTACTCAGCTCTCTCTCAGGTTTCTCCAGGTTTGCTTTAAATGCTATTTTCATAACTAGAAACCTTTTCAAGAATTCAGATATTTTTTGAGCTGGTTCTAAGGCTGTAATTTTGGTGTGCTCTGTGTTACAGCTGAGAAAGCAAAACAAAAGATGTTCTTTCAAGCGGTGACATAATTCAAGCTAATTGGAGGCTCCTTCAAATTTTCTTCCTGTTTTTAAGGGCCATTGACTTACCCTCCTGAGGAATGATGCGAAGAGTTACACTGAGACCTGCATCTTTAATTAGCTTCACAATATCTGCATGAGGCATGTTAATAATAGACTGGCCATTCACTGCTAAGATCCGGTCTCCAACTTTAAGTTTTGCACAGCGATCCGCAGGACTTCCATCAATTATCCGCCCTATTTTATGGGGAACAGCTAGACAAGGAACAATAGTCACAGTTAACATGTACTGAAACAAGTGGCGATGTTCACAAGCAAAAGAAAATGAGTTGATTTGGAAGAAAGTTCTATATAAATTAAAAAACAGCTTGTATATAAACATATAAGAATATAAATTCTTATTTGATGTCATTTGCATTAACACAGTACAGATTTCACTAAAAATTCAGAATCCAGATGTTCATATATACATGGCATATATAGATGAAGTCCAAAATCAGTTTATGGTTCAGCTAGTTTGCAAACCTGGCACGTAACAAGATAATAAACAGATCAGGAGAACAATAAGGCATTAAAACAGTGAAGGGGATAAATTTGCACAATAAGTAGTAGTCATAAATTGCCTCCCACCTCCTAGTTTACAGAATTTCTTTATTTGTGTGTTGCAAAAGAAGCACAACAAACATGATTTATTTTATATACAAATAGATAAAATGCCCAGCGTTCACTAAATTGTTCTCCTCCTCCATTCAAATATGTTAACCGATAAATAGAAACCATACTGAAGATTTATTGAGATGTGCAGATTTCTAACTAGATTCATGCCAGCATGAATTTACAGTTAATTATGAGTGCATAGACACATTGACTACATTAAATAGGCATCCCCATTTTCAAAACATTACAGATCAACTTTGTTTCTCCTTTTGCTCTTCTCTGTGGTTCTCCACTTTTCTGTACACTCCATCAAGTCTCTTGTTCTGTTTTTTTCCCTTATTTTCCACTGAATTTTCTAAATATTACTCTTGATCTTTCCCCCAGCATTTCTTCCCAATTCTGCTCTGTTTTTTAACTCAATGCATATAATATAGCTGAATCTTCTTTTCTCTATATCTAGGCTCCCCAAACAGCATGCTATTTTTCTTTCTCTCTCCTATTCATAAATATGCTTACCACAATTAAATTTGACTAGATATTCTAAAATAGCTTAATGGTGTCTGAGTATCCCTAATTGATCCTACACTTCAGTCTTGGCAAACTTAGCACAAATCTGCTTGGCCTCTCTATTCATCTGCAACTGATGTTTGAAAAGTTGTGTTTCTTTAAAAAAAAAAAATCCTTAAAATTCTAATATCTAAAGAGAATTTAGAAAAGATGAAAGAAAAGATTTATCAAGCTTCTTTTGGGAAATATCTAGGCTTTAAAAGCTCATATAAAACAAAGCTGTAAGAGGACATGTGTGCAGAATATTCCATCATTGCAGAACAAATTTCTCAGCCTTCTGATAAATAATCCCTGAAGGTGACAGTGACAAACACAGATTCCACATCTCATGCAAAGTTATAACACATATACCTCAGAGTGACTTTTTTTTCTAGTATGGACACAAGTGTTGCTTACAGCATTAAAAATTAATTTTCTGAGAACTAAAAATATAAGTGAGTACTCTGAAGTGCAAGCCGTAATCAAAGTGCATGCTTCTTTACAACTATAGTTCAGCCAAGAATATAAATTAAATTATGGCTTTAGTAATTGTCCTGGTTTTGGCTGGGATAGAGTTAATTTTCTTCCTAGTAGCTGGTAGAATGTTGTGTTTTAGATTTAGGATGAGAATAATGTCGTTAACACACTGATGTTTCAGTTGTTGCTGAGCAGTGCTTACACTAAGTCAAGGATTTTCCAGCTTCTCATACTGGCCCACCAGTGAGCAGGCTGGGGGTGCACAAGAAGCTGGGAGAGGACACAGCTGGGACAGCTGACTCCAACTGGCAAAAGGGATATTCCATACCATATGACATCATGCTGAACAATAAAACTGGGGGGAGTTGGCTGGGGGGCGGCAGCCGCTGCTGGGCACTGGCTGGGCATCAGTCAGTGAGTGGTGAGCAATTGCATTGTACATCACTTGTTTTGCATATTCATTTATCATTACCATTATTTCCCCTTCCTTTTCTGCTCTATTAAACTGTCTTTATCTCAACCCACGAGTTTTACCTTTATTCTGATTCTCTCCCCTGTCCCACTGCGGGGAGTGAGCCAACGGCTGTGTGATGTTTAGCTGCCAGCCAGGTTAAACTACAGCAGTGATACAGACACAACTAGCGTACTTCAGAAATGTCTTGCTGCTTAGGAAGTAAGCACCTAGTTTATGTCACAATGTCTAAACCTTTTTATGTTTTAAAATATGCTAAATAGGAATAGCCACACTTTGTACAAAACTTGGGTTTATTTTACCCTCGAAGCAGATATATCACCACCACGCATGCCTATCAGTAAATAAACAAGTAAAAGACTACCTTGATGCTGAAATGGTTTACATTCACACAGAGCCTTTCACATCAAAGCAATTCCTAAAACATCACCAAGAATCATTTAAACTAAGACTAAAACATACCTGTTTCTGGTATATGTAATAAAAGATTTGTCTGAAATTACTATGTCTGTACTACACATCAGTGGTGATCTGAAAATGAGACTGCCTTATATGAAAGAAATTTAGTAGGAGGAAAGGAGAAGTAGTATGGCTGAGATGCCGTAGTTCAAATTCCCATGCTTGCCATTGCTAACCCTAAAGAAGATGTTTGTGCTAGCCTAAATAATTAAGCAGAGACATCATCTCAGTAGTGAGGGGGGTGGGTGGGAAATCCTATTAATTTGCCAGAACAATTTTTGTTGGATTTCTTGCACCTGACAAGTGAATAGAGCAGATGTCTGCCTGTTTCAGATGTCTGCTAAAATCAAAGCTGGAGGTGGGAAAGCCATAAGAGTCCCATTCTGCTACAAATCCTGGGAAAAGGGAGGGGAAGGAAAAAGAAGAGGAACTTTGTATTCCATTTTTCTTCCTCTTAAGCCAAATGGCCTTTACTTTCCCGATAAAGATACCTACTCTAAATGTTTTGCTACCACTGCAGCTCCCTTCGTCCTGCCAAGCTATGAAAGGATCAACAGTAGGTGACCTGAACAAAGCACATATCTGTCAAGGTACCTTTTCTACTGCACTTCGTTTTTTTGAGGATTTAATGCTCCTCTTCTGAGGTTGATCGGTGCAATGTGATGTCGTACGATCTTGCTGCAGAGTGGGGTGTGGAAAGCTTTCGCAGAAGGAACCTGAATCTCTGCAAAGCAGACCACTGGTATCTGATATCAGGGTTTCATGGGAAAATCTAGTGGATTACTACTCATAAACATTCAGCTGAAGTTGGTTTTGGTTAATTTCTAGATCATATGAGAAGTTTATCTCCTAGCTCCTTCTCTCCCAGTAATATCCTGAGGAGTTTCTGGTCTCTGTTTGCTCTCCTCAGTGGAGCTCTGCCTGAGTCTCCTCCTAAACCACAATATCCTGGCCACCATGGTCCCTGCTGCTGCCTTGGGTGGGGAGGATTTATTTAAGGATTTATTTACAGGCATGAGTGCCTCTAAGAGATGTAGGTTATGCAGGTTGTTCATGAAAATATGAACATGTTAGAATATATTAGAAAACCTAATTTTTAAGAGCCTTTGGTGGTGAAATACTTACTGTGAAGGGATAAGGAGATACTCTCATAGGGGATTAATTAGGTAACAGCTAAGGAACAAAAGCAGAAATGAACTGTGAATTTGAATAATGGAGAATTTTTATCTTTCAGAATGGTCACATCTAAAGCAGGTGTGGAAGAGCTGTAAAACTGTCAGTACGGAGTGGGCTCAGTGAAGTGGCAGACAAGATCCTTCACGAGGCACATGGGGAAAAACTAACCCTGCCTAAGCTTAAGCAGGGATGGGCCCTAAATTATGTATTGCCACTCAGGAGATCTTGAAATAAGTGTGCCTGCTTCTCTTAAAAACATAAACTCAGTAAAACAGTAAATAGATTTTTAAGATTTTGAAAAAGAATAACAAATAAAACAAACTGTTACTAGTTAGTACTGTGCACCTGAAGTCTGAGTATTGCTGATAGTTCCAGTACCCCCACTCAAAAGCCATAGCACTGAGCTAGCAAAGATTCAGAGCACAGCAGCCAGAAGCAGTGAACAGCCTCTGTTCAAAATAGTCCATGAGCTTTCTGTCTGCAGCTGGGAGAAGGGAAGGTGAGGCAACCTTCTGGAGGGCCAGAAGAACGAAAGGATTCAGAAAAAGGAGTAGGCGAATTCACGGGGGTGGATCCACTGCTGATTAAGTCAGAAAGTTGTGGCTGTGAGAGTGGAGGAGATGCCTGGGGAAGGTCCCTGCTTGCTGTGGGTGCTGTCCTCTCTGCCACTGGTGATGGCCAGGGACCACATGGGGCTCTGCAGCATTTCGATCTCTCCCAGCATCACAGGTCTCTTCTCAGGAAGAAACCTCCAATGTTTGGCATTTAATTACAGCTTTGTTAACACATCATATTTTTTCTTAAATTGCATCTTCAGTGTTGTAATTTTTTCTAAGCAGAGCATTTAGTAATGGAACCTTCTAAAGGACGTCCCGCATCACCTGACTGGTGATAAATGATTCCACTCGCCCTTAAACATTTTTACTAATCTATTCACACCTCTTTTAAGAATTTGCCACAAGCTGTTCTCCAAACATATGTACATTTTGAACAGTGGCAGCACGTGACTGGATTAGACTCTGCAGAGAATTTGATCCACTTATTGCAAAACACGGAGTTAACCTGAGCAACATTTAATATTAGCAGGCTATACAGAAACACTTGGATTTGTGGGGTTTTTTTTCGGGAACCCCATTATTTACGCTAAGACTGAGCATAGAAAACAAGCTGCCCCTTTGCAGGTCAATTAATTTCTTAGTTCTCTCAGACTACACAATGGATGAGACTTCAAGGGAAAAATATTATGGTAAACGGAGGTTTATACAGCTTTTTTAAATTGTTGAAAATATGGGAAATTAGTGTGATACAGTATATACGTATATGAAACATCTAGTCCTTCAAAACAGACATATAGATTTTTTTCTCTAATACTATCAAGTCATTCAAAATGTGATACTTAAGAGTGATACATATGGGTATCTACCTTGGATAGATAAGGAAAAAAAATCCTTCCAAGGCAGAAGTTATA